AAAAAAACGCAGTCTGAGTTGTGACATTAAGCAATGCAAGCGTGACGTTTTGCATTGCTTAATGTCAGAACTCAGACTGCGTTTTTGGGTCTAAACATATGTTTCGGCATCGTCATTCGCGGAACTGCCTCCGTAAGTCGCGGTAATTGGCTCTCCGAGTGTTGTGCGGGGAAGTAGACGCACGGGCTTTTTTAAGAGTGTAGGAAAGATCTACCACAACTCTTTAATGAGTGGCGTTCCGAATGCACCCCGAAGAAGTACAGAGGCGTGAGTTTTTGTAAGATGCCCCGTCGCGGTTGCGGTTCAGAATCAGAGCAGTGGCGTCACTAGGGTCAGCGGCACCCGGGGCGGTGGCCCGCGGCGACAACCCCCCCCCCCCTCCCCCCTCCCCCCCCCACCCTCCGCTCGTCGCCCACCACGACCCCCCCTCCCCCCCAAACCGGCCCGTCGCGACACCCCCCGGAGCGCTGCACCCAAGGCGGACCGCCCCCCCCCCCCCCCCCCCCCCCCCGCGCCCCCCTTGTGACGCTACTGGTTCAGAGGGACACTATACGCACACGGCCATGAGATAAGATGTGTATAGTGACGAACAGCTTAACAAGACACGTAGGGCGAGTTCTGAGCAGCTTATTGTCGCTTCGGCGCCAATTAGATTGTGGCATTGACAGATGTGAAGGCCGAAAAAAAAAAAAACTTCCCCCCCCCCACAAAAAAAAAAAAAGCGTCCCAAATTACGCTTTGCGTAATTTGGGACGCACCGCTCACACATAATACAAAGGACACGGCTGCAGACGACATAATTAATGTGCGGACATGCCCGAAGCGTGTTCGAGGCACATCGGGCTGGTAGTGGAGAGGAACATCAGCCTGAACTCGATATGAGAAATCTTCTCGCATCTATCAACCAGAAGTTGGAAAGCCTCCCCCTTCTAAAAGAGAAGGTAGAAAATACGGAGCTCTCCATCCAGTTCATGTCTAAAAGCTTTGATGAAATCGAAACGAAACCTCAACTCTCAAATGACCGAAATTAAAGAACTTAGAAAGAGAGTAACAGAACAGGAAGAAAAGGATGATAAAAGTAAACACGTACAGGATCAGTTCCTGCAGGAAGTTAATGAACTCGAATTTCGGAGCAGGCGTCTCTCAACCTAGAGGTTCATGGGATACCTGCGGGGCAGGACGAAAATTTGATTACCTCGTTAAACGATGTTGCTAACAAACTAGAGGTAACTCACCTCACCGAGTCCGACATAGTATCAGTTCACAGGCTACCCGCTAGACAAGGAAATGTGCCCGGAGTGATTCTTCATTTCGCAAAGCAACAGACTAGAGATGCATGGCTCAAGAAAAACAAATAAGCTAAAGAGCCCCGCGATTGTTTATCCAAGAGAACCTGACTCGGCGTAATCGGGAGCTTCTTTGGGCAGTTAAAGATCGCGCCAATCCGAAAAACAAACGGAAAGATTCTTGTCCGAAAAACGGAAGGAGCACGCGCCGTTCACATCAAGTGCAACGATGACCTTGACAACTTGTAGATAACTGGGAAGCCAACTAAGTTTTGACAAAAATGATTGTGTCACCCCCAGTAGATTGTAGATACCACGACGATTCATTTTTCGATCAAACGCATCAAAGTTATATTTCACATTTTTCCTTCGTACATTTGAATACCAGGAGCATAAACAATGAACAAGACAATGTAAATTTGTTTTTTGAATCATTATGTATAAATTTTCATGCTTTGCTTTGTACGGAAACGTGGATCCCTGAAAAATCTTAGCTCCCCCGTTTCAGTGGGTATAAATGCACCAGCCTGGGCAGGAAAAATATAAAAAAAAGGAGGCGCGGTAGTCATTTATTAAAGAGAAAACATTTCCTGCTATGTGTTAGATGAGTTTTTCGTTATCTCGACAGACGTCGAGTCTCTTGTTGTGGACGCCGGAGGTGTTGTTATTTCTGTTGTTTATAGGCCACCGACTGGGAGACAAATCTGTGTTTATATCTTATTGTGAGGACTTGCTTGGGTTTCTTGGCTCAATAGCTAAACCATTCTTTATAATGGGTGATATAAATATCGATTTACATAAAGAAGAAAAGCATGCGTCTGAATTACAAAATGTTTTGTGTGCCTTTAGATGTATTAATACGGTAACGCTGCCCACCGGGTTGACCTCAGATACCGCTACTTGTCTCGACGTATGTATAACTAATTTAAACACTCACGAGGTTTCTTCTTGCATTTTTACAAACGACATAAGTGACCATTTACCTATTTTCTGTTTTGCACCATTCCTTTAAAAAAAGCAAACTCAACGTAGCGGTTACAGTTACAGGAAAATAGACGAAGCTTCCTTGAGAAAGTTTCGTGACCGAATCACTGCCATCGATTGGAACAGTGAATATGTTGAACAAGATTCAAATATCCCGTACGCCAGCTTTTCTAAAAAAACTTAAAATATGCTATGACACTGCCTTCCCACTTAAAGTAGTGAACAAAAGAAAAGGTAGATTGCGCAAACCTTGGATGACCAATGAGTTATACGCTCAGATTAAATAAAAAAATAAAAAATACCATGATTTTCTTAAAAGCAGAGATCAAGATCTTTTAGCAGCCTACAAAAAGTACAGAAATAAGCTAACATCCGATTTGAAAAATGCAAAACATGATTATTATCAACGTTTATTTTTCCGGGTCCAGAATAAGCCCAGAAAAATATGGGAAGCGGTAAATGCCCTCCCAAACAATAACAATCGCGCCACGGAAATACAAACTGTGATTGTCGATGGCAAGCGCGTAAGCGGGCTGGACTTATCTAACGCAATGAACGAGCATTTTGTAAAAGTTGGAGATGTACTGCAGATACGCAAGTATATTACGACGCACCTAGCACGACTACCGTAAGAAACTCGATAATGTTATCACCAGTCACCCCACAGGAAATAAAACTACTAATAGCAAAAAAAAAAAAAAAAAAGATGTAGCCGCTGGCATCGATGACCTTAAACCAGTTTCTATTAAATACGTTTACCAAGAAGTTCGCAACGTCCTATCACACATCATAAACTGCATGTTAGAAACGGGTATATTTCCTGAGCAACTTAAAATTGCCAAAGTTACACCTGTCTACAAAGGGGGCGGAAAATACTTACGAAATTTTAGACCTCTTTCGTTCTTGCCTATATTCTCTAAATTATTTGAGGGCGTTATACAAAGCAGAATAAACCAATTTATATCCAAGTATTATGTGATTAACAAATCACAATATGGATTTCAGAAAGGTAAATCTACGGAGCAAGCACTCGTGGAGGCAAAAGACAAAATAATATACAATATTGAGAATAAACTACCTATATACACTAGGAATTTTTTTAGACCTAAGTAAAGCATTTGACATTATACAACACGACATACTGTTCAGAAAACTACATACATATGGAATACGTGGAATAGCTTTGGCTCTCATAAAAACTTATCTTCAAAATCGATATCAGTTTGTTAAAATGAACAACATTGTCTCAAGTACATCCGAAATAAAATGCGGAGTTCCACAAGGTTCGATTCTAGGTCTCCTTCTGTTTCTTCTCTATATAAACGATATTACAGCAATTCCGGGATCTCGTGAGCTTATTATGTATGCGGATGACACCAGTGTATTCTTCGCAGACTCATCCAAAGCCCAGTTGGAACTCATGACGAACAGCTATCTTGCCGACCTAGCTACATGGCTTCAAGCTAACAAGCTAAACTTAAATTTAAAAAAAAAACTAAGTATATACTATATGCACCTAAAAACAAACGCGACAGTACCAACTTAGTTTTATATTTTAAAGATGAAATTATAGAACAAGTCCACGAACCAAAAGTTTTGGGAGTTTGGTTTAATCAAGAGCTAAATTGGAACACACATGTGAATAAATCAAGTTCCGAGCTTTCACGGTCGGTTGGGTGTCTATATAAAATAGGAAACCTTACACCATCATGGCGAAAGAAAAACTTATATTATTCGCTCGGTTACTCCAGGATCTGCTATTGTCTTCTAGTGTGGGGCACCGACATCGACCACAAACTCGTTGCTCACACTGCAGAAAAAAAATGTTGCGCCTATTTGAAAATTATAAGGGTAAATTATAAGACCTGCACACTGCACCACTTTAAAAAAAAAAAAAAAATATGGCATTCTTATGGTCAATCAGATTTATGACTTTAAGTTATTACAACTGATTCACAGACAAAAACTATATGTGACGGATATAAGTGATTTAATGCATGCATACCCTCTTCGACACGCACATAAGCGGCCCCCTCATACCCGTACAAATTATGGAACACAGACAATGGAATATCAAGTCAGTAAAGCTCTTAATAACATAAAGACCACATAGATTTTAATAACACTTTTAGTAAACTTAAAAGGAATCACAGGACACTTATGGTGGGCAGTGGTAACCCCTTATTATCTGAATCTGTATGTAATAACTAGCTGCTTTTCTGGTATAATCTTAAAATGAATATTTTGTTTACTACTATACTAAGCGTTAACTTTGCAAACTGTGTGCTGCTGGAAAGCGCTGCACTGGGGACAGAGACCTTGTCAGGCTTCACGCCTTTAGTCCCTGTCTCTATTTCGGTTGATTCCGGAAAATAAATAAACATTCAAACATCAGATATGTGTGCCTCTTGCCTGCCGACGGTTTCTGACCGTCATACAAGAAACAGACAGGGTCTGCACACTGTCTTTTATACGATGTGCGGGCAGTCCCTTCACTCTTGAGTCTGGACACAGCTAGAGGCAGGTAACGCAAACTGCTGCCCGAATAACAAAATAAAAAGAGAGAGAGAGAAAAAAAAAGCCTCTTGTAAAGATTGCAGAAGGAGGAAGGGCCGCTGTTATTCCCTCGTGTACCAGTTCCCCTCGCCCCCTTCCCCGAGCAACTGAGAGAAGGAGGGCCCTCCTCCCTCTCCGCGGTGGGGGCTGCCAGTTCGCTTGGCGGCAACTTGCAGAGCTTGATCTGGCTCAGCCCGGGCAGGAGCTCGGCCGTCAGAGTGGTACGCAGGCAGGTCCGTGGGGGTGTGGTGCGTGCGTGCGTGCGCGAGTGACCATCGCAGGAACGAACGACGACGGCGTTGCGCTAGTTGCGTGCACGTCTCCGCTGTGCTGAAACTGGATATTTGCCGTCGAGACAGCTTGGAATACCATATCGGAAGACTGGGGATTGGAAACGTTCGCGCTGCTGGAGGCTGTTCGAGAACTTAGCGGACAGGCGGTGGAAGCAAACTTGTTCGGGTGGTGTAGACAAGTCGAGTACGTGACCGTTTCTTTCGAGTGGTTGCTCTTACGTGCTGTGGTCGTGTCGGAGCAGACGTCCGTACATTTCGGGCGCGGAGTGATCTTGTGGTCGCCAAATACCGAGGACTAGTATTTTCCAAGAAGGCGAGGCTGGGGTCCAGTTAGAAATGTCCGCACATTCCTCAGAGAGGCATCGAAACGGTGGCCGGCTGTTGTTAATTGAAACCGAGTGGATCGAAGCCCCTTCGTCAACTCGTTGATGGTTGTCATGACACCGTTCTTGCCACGGCTCCTGGAGCCAGCCACGTAGAGAATCCGATTCCTCCGTGAACGCGCACCACCCCAAAGATGGAGCTGTTCCCCGTGCTCTGGCTGGCAGTGTCGGCCACGGCCCCCGTGCTCATCGTGCTGTGTCTCTGGGTGTCCTACGTCTTCCACACGTACCGCCGCAAGTGGAGAACCGTAGACCTGTTCCTCCTGTCTGTCTCATGCCAGGACCTCGTCACCGCGCTCTTCTGCTTCGGATTCTCGGTGCTGCGCCTCATAGGGCCGAAGATGGCCGCTGCGCCCTGTGGATTCGTTCTGTGGGGCCTGGCGGCCACCAGGACCTTCCAGTTAGCCACACTCGCGTCCGCTGTGGGCGACCGCCTGCTGACCGTGCGATGGCCCTACCGGTATCGGTTCAGCGTGCAGAGGAACCAGATTCGCTACCACGTCGCAGTGCTTGCCGTCATAGGCGTTCTCATCGGAGTGGCGTCGGCCTTCGCCAGGTCTTCGGAGTCCATGGTGGAGTGCTCGCTTCACCCGCAGCTGTGGGACGGCCGTTACACGCTCTTTGTGCTTGTGCTCTACGGGTCGCTCATGGTTGCGAGCATCTGCATGAGCGTGGCCATGGAGGTTCAGCGCTGGCAGCTGACCAGAAAAGCGCGTCTTCAGCAGCTGAGGACGGCCACCCCGGAGTACGGAACCACGAGCACGGGTAGCAGCGTCAGTTCTTCCAGCTCGAGGCCGCTGCACGTGCTCGGTAGGCAGACCTCCAGGAGACCCTACAGTCCACAGGTGCTCTGCGAAGCCGGTGTGTCCGAGTTTCGCTGGACTGTTGTGGCCGTGGTTACCCTACTGTCCTTCGCCATCAACCATTTACCCTATCTGGTAAGTCGCTTTCTACACTAACAGTCATCTACAAAAAAAAGAAATCGGCGCTTAGTTGGTTATAAAAACCTAAATACTGCACTGTGTATATCTACAGTTCCCATCTTTTTTTTTTTTTTTTGGCACTGGAGGGTTATATCTTGGGAATTGGAGCTACGGCTCTGTTTAATACATTTAATGCAAGAGAACCGCAAAAAATCCGCACATTAAGACCAAAAATAAACTTGGGCACTAGAGCCTTCGGCTTTTATGGGCGTACATGACTCGCTTATTGCCGTTCACATCCTGTTGCAATTGTTTGCCAAAAAATAATCATAACTAAAAAGCAGCGTAGCCGTCATAAAATAGCGGCACGCAACACACCGGACGTCGCCCTATCATACGGCCATTACCGCAGCATCGCACGCGAACGAAATCACAAGTTTGACGGCATCTTCTTCGTCCATGTTATTTGACTGTCTTTTCGTTCTGCTTGCTTTAATGGCACGATATCAGTGGGGACCATACTGGGTTTTTGTTCTGCCTTGCCGCTCGCAGTTACACAAAAAAGTCAACTTCGTTGTATTTTTGTCTCGGAAGTGGGTAGTTTGCCTGCCTTAATATTGCGCCTGATGTCTTTGGTCAGTGCAGTGCGACCATATTATAGCCTGTGTTACTTAACGCGAACCAAGTAGTAATGCCCGAGTCCCACTACAGGAACAACCGACACCGGCAAGCTTTAAATCTGAATGTGTAATGCAGGCGAAGGCACCTTCGGCAAGCTTGCAGTGTTTCGGTGCTCGTGAAGTAAACACGGGTGATCTCAAGATTGCCTGGGCTACCTTTGCAAGCATGCTGTGCCTGTTTGAGGCTTGTCGGTGTCGGTGGTTTCTGTTCGTCACACTCGTAGGACTCGAACATAATGACTGCATTCTGGTGAAAAAAAGAAACATCAGTTTTTGGCCGCCTTTTGAAATGACGTTAGCTTGCGTCTGCATTGCAATCTGCACCGCCATGGAGTCCCCAATGACTCCAGGCCATTGTAGTAACAACGGGCGACGAACAGTCGTTCTCACACGAGCCAGCGTTCGCGTGCGGCGAGCGTTGTTCCCAGCTGCCGAAACTCATTTTACGGGAGAATTCGTGGCCACACGACCAAGTCATTACATGCTGCGCAAGTCTACGCGACGCGCGGGTGCTGGTAGAGTATTGTGTGGAACTGTATGGACACTGACAGCGTAAGAAACAAGTTGCTTATTCCGTTGACGCGCATCTTGATTCGCTTTTCGGCATCGGCTGCAACCTCGTTAGCTGCAGGGCAAGATGCCCGGAGATTCTGCGGGTCTATTGACACTGAAGCCCTAACGCAGGGCTCCCATGCTTGTAGCTTCGAGATTCGTTCTTTGGCCTTCTTGTCGGCCAATCGCAATGGAATTTTGCTGAAGAGCAATAATAAGTAGCTCGGGACGCGCCCTACGCTTTTTAAGCTGCCACCGTGAGCACACCCTCCGATGTCTTAAGCCGCAACAGCTCATACATCAAACAAGAGACATGGATTTTGCTGCAAACATGACCATATTATCGGCACGTCACGCATCCTCGAAGCTTGCCTGCTTGGTACGTATGTACGCTTCGAACATCTCTTCTGCAGTCAGTTTTTGTATGTGAGTATGTCCAATGTCTGACAGTGCCGTCATACAAGGATGAAACACGCTTCAGATAGTGTCTACAAACTGTCTTTTGTATGGTGCATTGGCAGTGTGACCGCGACTTATACTGCAGGCGTACAGTGCGGTTCACCAGAAGCAGGAGTCATTATATTTTCTCCAATCAGATCAACCAACGAGAATGGCCATCAGTATCACGCATGCTGTCTGAACGCCGAGTGACATGCACCCCTTTACAGACATTAAGCTGGCTCGTAGAAACAAAAAGAGAGAAAAAAAAAAAAAGAGACACAAGCCTAGGAACGCATAGGAAGTGTGGCGCTTCCTCCGCCGTTGTCCCCAGCTCCGAAATGGAACCCTCGTCCCGTCGCCATGATGTGTGCGCCGCCACGCTCGTTTCCTGTGCGGCACCGACCGCTTATTGTAAGCAGAGACGGCAGGGGGCGTCCGCCTCGCGTTTCCGGTCTTGACACACACGCGTGTGCACTTCCGCCGTCTCGTAACTCGATTGTTCACGGGCCGCATTACACGGCTCGCGCTGCTGCGTGCACCCCTGGCAGCAGCAGCAGCGCGGGGTTGTGCAAACGAGGAAGCCGCAGCGGACAAGCGGGAAACCGATTCCGTTCCCACGCAGTGCGATCTGAATGTGGATTATTTGGCCGGTCGCTTTTGTCCGGGGCGGTCACGTTCGCGCAGGTCGGCCTACCTAATCAGCCCCGTATAAATAGTCGTAGCTGTAGCGCGGCAGTGTACCTACTGTCACTATATCCCATTTTTAACTGACCCAAAAACCGAAGCTACTTCTGTTTTGCGTCGGTTTCTTTCTGTTACGAATGTTCGACAATTGTATTCATTTATTTATATCTTCCGCGTTAGAGATTGTAATCCAAGGCTTAGGGCAGATCTAACACACGCGGTATTGCAGGGGAGAAAAAGAAAAAGACAAGATCATAAGTAGGACTATGCTTTAAAACAGCCCCTGAGGTCACTTCTCTGCCGAACCCGAACACAGCCAATCACGGTTAACAATATGAAGGCCTCAGCGAATCACGAAGCTCAGAATACAGGGAGCACTGAAAGATGTGAACATGGGGAAATGAGCATGTTCCTCGTCCCTGTGCATATCGTATCTTCCAAATCTATACGTATATTCTGAGTTTCGTCCTTCAATGATGAATGGCTGCCTCCGTATTCTGCAGGGAACTAACGAAAGGAATTGAGCGAGAGAACTCTTCGAGACATCCGATCTTGTGCGAAAGCGCACCGAGATCTCTTGTTTTGAATGGAAGGGTTCGGTTGCCCTGAGACAACAGTCTCGTAACGGAATACTTGTAATCCGTTACTTTTTCAAGTATCTTGTAATTGCCACGTTACTTTTTTTTGCGGCAGAAATTTGTAATATAATTTAATTACAAAATATTGGCAACGGATTAGTTTACTTACTCGTTACTTTTTTCAAAACATGTACATGACACAGAAGCTGGACAATATAAGCAGGCAATTCAGCAGCATAAAGATAGCAGACTCGACAAAATATAAAATATCTTGCAGAGAAAAATAACAGAAAAAAAAAAACGATCTTTTGTACGAGCGGTCACTACAACCACTAGAAAAACGTGCAAGGCATGTACAAATATGCGAAAAACAAAGATCGCGAAGTCAACACCGAGTAGGTGCTATCTTCTCAATCTCCCGGCTGAGGTAGACGCTGCTACTGAGCATGCGCACCGCTAGCTTTGTCTGCGGAATTCCAGGGATAAGTTTCCGGTCGCCGTAAGCTAGCTGGATGGCGGGTGTGGTTGCAGCTTTCGCTGCCTTGTCAGCTTACAGGTGAACGGGATATCACCAGCATTCCTGGTCTTAAATACAATATTTCATTTTTACAGGGACTACCATAATGCGGACATTGCGAACATCATAAATATTTCTATTGTTTTCTTGATATGTGGACGGGGTAAGTAACTTCGCTCTAAAAAATGTTTGTGCGTCTACTTTCATGCACAACACTAGGAGAGCCAATCACCGCAACTTACGGAGGCAGCTGAGCGAATGACAATGCCGAAACATATGTTGAGACCAAAAAAAAACCAGTCTGAGTTGTGACATTGAGCAATGCAAAACGTCACACTTGCATTAAGACTGCGTTTTTTGGTGTAAACATATGTTTCGGCATTGTCATTCGCTGAGCTTCCTCCGTAAGTTGCGGTGATTGGCTCTCCGAGTGTGGTGCGGGAAAAAAGCAGACGCACGGGCTTTTTTTTTAGAATGTTGTAACGTAACGAGTAAAGTAATCCGTTACTTTTTAGAGCGAAAGTAATTTGTAACGGTAATCCATACATTTGAGACTCGGTAATTTGTAATTGTAATTCATCATATTTTTCAAGTAACGGGCACAAGTCTGCCCTGGGACCAGCTGGACGACCGACTTGTGCTTAGGTCGGACTGTTTATCAGGTATGCGGTGGCCTCTGAAGGGGGAAACTGTTGGCAACCCGTTTTCTCGCTTCAAAGTTCACACTTAGTTATTGTTTTCTCACAAGCATACTCGCTCACGGGGCTTGCGGGCACTGTGCACGCGCCCACAGCACAGGTGACAGATGTGTCCTGCGAGCATCCCCAGACGTCCATGGAAGCTTAAAACTTCCTGAGGTCGTCCTCCAGACCGTGCGTTCGGTATTTTTACAGCGTAAAAGCTGGTGGTGCCGTCGCAGAAAAAAATAATAATGTGCCGCGCGCTTTTGTTTCGTGAGTTTTTCGACCTAGAACATCTATGCTGACAGTTTTTATGACCAATTTTACTGTCATAAAAGGAAGAGCCTCAGTCTGGGTGTCTGCAGGCTTTCTGGCGTATGACGTATCAGCAGTGCGACCGCGGATTTAGGCTATGAAATAAGTATATAGCGGCTCCCAAGGCTCACAAAGTACGTAAACAATCTGTTGTTTCTTTTTTTTTTTTTAATAAAGGAACGGCCAATGACACGGCTCATCAGCCGCAGGAAGCGAAAGAATACACAGTCAGCGGGGAAAGCCTTTAACTGCATGTGAATTTCTCTCGGAACGTGAACGCGCCTGACCTGATCCTGTCACCGTCCATAAGCGCACGGGAGAAGCTGTGCAGCGAACAATACATCCTCACTAATACCAGAATGGAAAACGACCGCCTGATGGCGCTCGCGATTGCGCGGCACTTACACCAGGTCGTGCTGAGGTCAAGGGCTGAGGTTCCTTAATTTTACGCGAGGTATAATTTCAGAGGCTCTCAAGAGAGTGCCGTTTCACGACGAAACAAACGCAGTATATACCTAAAAAAAAAAGAAAGAACAGAAGAACTCTCTCACGATAGCGGTGAGATCAG